GTTGCCCAGGGTGCATCACGTGGAGGTAAGTCTGTCGCACACCCCTCATGTAGTAAAGTAAAAACCTTGCGTTTAACTTGCACATGCTAACGGGGCAAGTAGATACAAAACGTTACGGCCATAATTTCAAGAAGATGGCGGAGAGATTCGCTACCAACTCAGAAGTCATTCTGCTGGCATTCTGATATGTATGGAAGTCAGTGTGGTGTCCCTCCTTTTCAACTGTTATTTCACTTATTCTAACACTTTTATACGCATGAAACTGTGGAAATTTCCGTTATTTTGGAAAAAAAACAGAGGAGAGAAGAGGGAGAACACGTCTTTTAAAAGCAAGGAAAACGCAAAGTTTTTGTATAATGTAAAATAATCATAATTGTGGACAAGAATATGTATTTATATCTGGAGTTTGTCTATGAATATTCCACCTCCATCAGGATTTCAGAATACTAAATCCCCACATTTGGCGTCTAGGGTTTTGAATAAATTTATATTCATGATATGGTTCACCATGAACAACATATACTCATACGCCAAGAAGGTCTACAAACCGTCAGTTGACTTCTGACTTCAAACTACCATGACTCCACTGTTTGTCATAGTCCACCATTTCACAGTACTCACCTTACCCCTCTCTCTACCTTTGTGTTTGTGTCTCTTGCACCTGTGAATCACTCTTGTGTTCCCTCTCTCGACTTTGTTTGACTTTGGGTCCCCCACCTCTCTGTGAAACCCGAAGTCAACTAAAGGACTAATGATGACTATCAAAATGCCTGCCATTTGTTAAATATAAATATTCATGAAATGCATGGCCTATTATTGGGCTAATATATTTTCAGCATTCGACAGATGAATTTGGCGTAATTGTTTTGAATAGCATTAAGATAGCTAAGTAAGATAGCACAGGTCTATGCACTCAAAATTACGAGTAGATTTGATCCAATGTCTTGAACAATGGAAAATATGTCATTGTCCAGGTGTGTGAGAAAACACACACACACACACACACACACACACACATACATACATGCACGCATACATACATACATACATACATACATATACATACATACATATACATATATATATATGTTACGCTGACTTCAATTCACTATTCACTCTGTGAAAAATATACAGTTTTAATAAATTCAATTACAATGAGCTAAGTTGTTTTGTTAAACAGAGTGTCTAAAGACTAATTAATAGCTCTCAAATTAGAATCAAAGCAATGCTAGTGTATTTGCGTAAAAGACACAAAATCTAAACTGTTTTTCTGACTCACTCATTGTATATTAAATTAGCACAAGTGCTTTCCAAATATGGAGTAAAACGGTTTCCTACACAACTGCATTTCTCAAGGATACGCGTGCCTGCACATGCGATGTGCACAATTAAGTTCCTCCTTTTAAAATGTTGTAGAGCTGATGCTATACACAACTCCTTTCTAGGACATTTTACATCACTGACATGTTTTTTTTAACTTATTTATCATTATTTATCTGTTTATTTTATGCATGCCACTTGTTGTAATATTAATATTTGATCAAGTAAACGTGCTCCATTTTGGCCATTTCCAAAGTGATTTATCGATAAAATGGAGGGATTTTCCATCAGTGCTGAATGCATACTGAATGGTTTTATAAAAGGGCCTTTTTAATTATATTGAATGCTTAACTTCTCAGTGAACATGAGTTCCTAGCTCTCTCTCTCTCTCTGTCCCCCTCTATTCCTCAATTTTGATTTAAAGATCTCCTTAAGCATAATTTTGTAAGGTATATAAAAAAATAATCTTGCTGTCGTTTAACCAATCGCTGAACGTATTTGCAATCATATTATTACCCTCATTTCATAAAATTGATGGTTTGAGTGAATTTCTTATATAACTTTTTGCACTTCTGACAATCTATTCAATCAGTTATGAGGTAATTGAAAGTGTTAACACTCTATGTCTTAACAGATTCAAGCCAGGATATAATTGGATTCCTGGAATAACTCATATTGCTCAGCTGAGATCAATGCTCAGATTCGCTGTAGAATCGTGTTTACCATTGATCATGCGTACAGTTCATTCATTTTAAAGTCACATTTGATGTTACTATGTTTGCCGTTGATGAATTGTAAAATCTAAGCAAGATCCGATGAACGTATACATATTGTAACTTCTCTATATTGCTAAACTCCCATCGAAATGAAATTTTCAAAATAACCTCATCCCCTATTCTATAAATAGTTTCCAGTACATCTATCGTTAGACAGAGAAGGGAACTTACGTTCTAATCACAAGCCAATCAATTTCACTTATTCAAGTTTTACGCAGGCAGATATGCATGGCAAATGAAGTGACATAGGGAGAATTTCAGCCTTGACTTAAAGTTCTGGGCCAGAGCGATTAAATCCTTAACTCAAATTTTTTGTTGATTTGCCCGCATTTTGTTAACACTCTCCCAAACGTACCACTGCCCGTGGTGACGCATAGATCTGCCCAGCCTAGATAGTCTGACTCACAGGGAAGGCTACTACAGCCCCTCTAAGCACACCTTGGTCCACTTTCACAGCTGGGGTTTATAACTAGACCCCCCTTTCTGGAACTTTCTATTTTACCCTGCGATTATCCAAAGCATCACTAGGCCAAATCATCACTTACTCTTCTGATTGGTAGAAGTTGGGTTTGGGGGGGGGGGTTTGATCAGACTCTAAACCTAACCAGGTCAGATTATAAAAGTAGATCAAGAGAGATTCAAGCTAATTGGAAATAGTAGAAGGTAAATGATGTGCATGGAAAATTGTCCTTTATTCCATATCACAAAAAGTGCATTCTGCAAATACAATTGTCAACAAGTTAGCTTTTATTATATCAATAGGTAAGAATCAGATATTCAGATTTTAAATTTTTCATTTCATATGCTCCTAAGATTGTATTAAAGTGAGATTGTATATTAACGGCAGTCGCTCTTTTTTGCTATTTGGTGATTAACTGGACCGGTTTTCGCTAAACAACTTAAGTGAATTCATCGATAAGAGCATGATTACCTGCCTACATTTGAACTTAGCATTTATTATCGTTTCCCCTGTGTAGGTTTGAATGTTTTACTTTGAACATGTCTGAATGGAAGCAACCCTTCGCATTAAATGAAGACTAACAAAACGATTAGCCAGTATTCCGATCACCTTAAGGGCAGAGAAGTATCTTGCTAAAGAGCGCACCTTCGAATTCACACCCAATAATACGTGTCCTTTTATCAGTTCACTTTACTTCGGCTCGTGTTGGTTGCCCATCCTACGCACAAATTACAGGAAATCAGACAACTTCCTTATTTCCTTTCTAGCCACCTAACACCAACCAGGCCCTATTTGTTAATACCAATGCCTTTTCCTTCCAAACTCCAATTCCTTCTCCCAACAGGACTGTCCAATTCACAGATGATTTGACGCTCACTATATGAAAGGCTATTGTACCCCCTCCAGCCCTTGAGAAGATAATTTTCCCGACGAGATTTCAACCAGTAGCTTCACCTTCAGCAAAGGTTGACTTAACTCCAGTATGACGAAATTACATTATAATGATAGACATTTAATCTCTATCTGTCTCCACATTGTAATTCTGGTTTATGATTTTTTTTTAAACGCAGGTTCTAGCATCCTGAATCTGCTTTCCAGTATCCTTCCTCCTGTGAAAATTGTTTGGGGATCAAGGTTTAAGCAGATAGTCGGTAATGCACGGCTCTATTTTGGAATAGGCGGATAACACAGGTTGTTCTTTAAATTACGCAATGGTATGGCTAGTTTATTTCTCTGATAAATTATGATGGTTAGGTGTTAAGGCTGGAAAATTTGAAACAGGTATATTTGTATAGGCGTATTTACTAAAATATGTCGTCATTTGAGGCCTGAGTGACCTGTCTTCACTCTGAGCAATTGAGTGCACCCACGCAAAATTCTAACTAATTCATGACTTACACCAGAGGCTACTTAAGGTGATTTTATGAACTCAATTGTCCTAAAAATTAAAGAGAACGGTAAAAATTCTATTGAAAAGCTACAAGTGGAAACCTGCTAACAGCATGAGGAATTTGAAATAAAGCGCAAGAATTGTTGACCAGATTTTATGGATATTCATCACTAGGCTCAACAGTTTTAAGAATAACCATGCTCTCCATTCTATAATTATTGTAGGATATGATCTGCTCGTGCATCTATTTGCAGTTACGGTCGACTCTGTGGAATAGTGCGAATCTGGAAAGACAGGAGAAGTGCATCAACTTCAACTAAGGTTATTCAATAACAGTCACACGATTTCTACTGTGGGGTTTCATTTGTGATTGATTGAGTCAAAATATTAAATCAATATAAAGTAGGGTTTGGCGAGCACCACTTCACTAAGACCCAGAGAAGTGTCCAGCGTAAATATTCCAGAAGGGGGTAATAGGCACCCAAAAAGTAAACAACCGAAGTAGCTCACATAAACATAAATTAAGGCATTCAGTAGAGAGATTTGGAGGATGATTGAAATTAATTGTAACAGCAGGTAAATAAACGAATAGAAAAAAGGTATTCGCAATCGCGAAGGAGTGATAAAATTATAAATTGTTAACATAATAAAAGTATATTATCCATGTTGGGAAGACATAGCGTAAAATAATAACCCTCTTGAGAAAACTAAGACGGCAGACATGAGTAAAATGCACCGGCGAGAAAAAAGAATAACTTTATCATTATATAAAATCAATAAGCAATAAGAAAAAATACCGTAAAACAAAGAAAGCAGATAATATTAATTGCAATGATCATTACAGTCATGGGTAGTTGTACATAGATACAAGAAAACCACTAATAAAACAAGAAATAGGAAAAAAATAGAACAGAACAATCAGAAAAAAACTATGTACAAAAGAGAGAAGCCCAAATGATTGTTAATGAAGATGAAATGATGGAGGTGGGGGGGGGGATTGTAATTTTTCACAAACATACATATGTGCAAAGGCAGGAGAAGTTTACAACTGTAATTATTCAGCTTTCGGCTTGGTCGAAGTGGAAATAGCATCCAATTGATTTGAATCCTCAGTATCTGCACTTTCATACAGATGATGTGGCTCAGAGGGAGATAGTAATTTACCTACAAGAGTGTACCGATCTAAAAGAAACAAAAAAGATGAAATTTGAAATATAGAACAAAAAATGAACAGCAAAGAATGTATTTCGGAAACAAACCCCGGAATTGCAATTCCCACTCCTTAAGACCTTTCATCTGATCTGAAGTGAGATCTGAGAGATCATCATACTCGTCGGTACCTTGGGGTAAATCCGTAGTGAAATTTGTAAGAGATCTAGAGGCATCACGACCGGCGAAAATGGCATAAGGACCATTTTTTCCGTAGTATTCTTTTCCATTATTAGTGACATCGAAGACATTACCATTAACGGCTATCAAAATTCTACCATCTGGACCTGTCCCATCAAATTGACTTAGTTCCTGGATTGTAAAATCTCGTTTCGGCATTTCAGGTAACTTGGCCGTAGCCGGTGGTTTGTTTAGAACATGGATAATATAGCAGACAATTGCAATAATTATGCACAAAATAGCGATGATCGTTATAGAAATGAATATCCAGTGTTCATAAAATGGTATTATTGATTGGGACAAATGAAACATCTTGTCCAGGCTACAACATATAGAAAGGCCGCCAGCCGAGGAGCTAGTTCAAAAAGTTAATTTAATGAAAATTAGTTACAAAGGCAAGAACTAATTACTGACGAAGTATATAATTAATAGTATTTGAAAAATATAAACAATGATAATATATATTCCTTATAAATTGTAAAGTATGTAGGAATATTAAATATTAATACAGAAATCATTCATTTAAAAAATCAAAGTCGATTTTAAATTCTATCGGCTTTGCATATTTATAATTTTGGGCTATGGTTAGATTTTTATTAATATATATATTCTTATCAGTTTCCCATGGACCCGTCTGATTCTCACCATTCCGACAAACAGAGTAGTTAGCTTTATTTTCTTCATTTGGACTTCATTATTCCGTTTATACCAGGGTTATTGCATTCAGAAACACCATGTCGAATATTAAATTTTGCAATTTGTTTGGAGCTGAATAACTGGCCCCAATGGCTCCCTGAACGGGATATGTAAGCTTATAGTTTCAAGGAAGTTTTTGAATATTTACGGTTTTTTATTCAGAATGGCGAGGGAATTTGTATATAAATGAAGAATAAAATCTAGCTATTTCGCTGTGTTCTGTTTATGGTGAAAACGGCGATTAAACTTCAGAAAACAAAAGTTTGTTCTAAGCTATTAGACGCCCAGCATTGGTTCACTTACAAGAAAATATCAATATATCAAAGTGCATGTAAATTCAAAGCAAAGTATAATTATTGTTCCGGTGAATTTATCCAAAAGTGACTTAAAGGTATATTCAATCGACATTTTTCAGTTTCACTTAATCATTTGTGTTAAACTTCCTTTCGTTCAGGCAAAAAATAGAAAAAATTATAGTTTTTTGACTGATTAATATTATAGTTTAATATACTCTACTTTAACTAACCAAACAAATTTAGTCTTGCATTTCTTTTCCAACTATATCAGCCATCAAAACTGTTTGAATTAATTAATAGAAATATGAATTATATATTTCAAAATATTATTCTTATTTTTCGATGCATTATGACGATTCATATGTTTAAACGCTAGCAAATATTTATTATAACTTCCAACAGTTTTGTTTTAACCTGCATTTGGTTAATCTTCAGCTGATAGATTGTTGCCTGCTTCTTCTGCTTCTGCTTCTGCTTCTTCTTCTTTTTGTCTCTGATCTACTTTCTTATTTAAATGGGCGATAATACAAATCCATACACACGGTCTAAATACTACAGTGATGAGGAATCTGACGGTGGATATAATCCTTCAGCTGTTGGTACTAATGGTGCAATAGAAAATAATGAATACGATGTAGTACCTCGACTTTCTCCAAATACGCCTGTGTACCACCCAACTAAGTCAATTCTAAGTCATCCCGATGATGATTCTGAGTCTTTGAGTAGTGTCGAACAGGATACTCTTCGCAATAAAAGTGAATCTTCTCATAATATAAGATATGAGCTCGATGACGAGATTAATGAGTTTGGTCCCCCGTCTAAAGTGCGAAAAGTGATGCCTAGTGACGTGGCTAAAGGTGAAGTCGCTGATAAAAGTGGTGATGCTGATGATAAGTTGGGTATGTTCGACGACAGTTCGGATGACGGCGAGAAGGCTGATGGGGACAAAACTGGTGCAGATTTTGAAGGTTTCGATGGCGACGAACCAGGAGCGAAAGATATGATAGCCGATATTTTTGGGGAGAGTGATGCCGAAGGTGATGGAGATTTCGAAGGTTTTGCAGAAAATGAGGTCGAGAAAGAGGTGGTTGCCACCTTACTAAATGACGATGTAGACCTTGCTGGGCAGCTATCCAATAAACGTGATAATGACGGTGAGAACAATGACAATGAATCTGGTAGTCATAGCGAAGGTGGAACTTCCTTGGTTGCTATTTTCGATGAAATTGTGGAGAAGATGCGAAGGGAAAGAAGGCGTCGCAGGCGAAAAAATGTAGATTTTCTCAACGACTTGGATGATGTTGTTCGTGATATCGTCAATCGTATGCGGGATGCAGCTGAGGAGGATCGAAGACTTTTGGCCAGTAATAAACCTGCAATTAAGAAGGTTGGTATGCTCAAGGATGTTGAACAATTGCTCCTTAGAGCTGATGCCGGTCAAGCTCTTATTGATAATGGAATGCTCACTGCCATTGCTGAGTGGCTTTCTCCTGTCTCGGGTAGAATCCTCCCCTCATTGTCTATTAGAGATTGTCTCCTTAAACACCTCAAGGAATTTCATATCGAAGAGACTGATTTACTAAAGGAATCAGGTATTGGAAAGGCCGTCATGTTCATCTATAAGCATCCCTTGGAAACTCCTGCCAATAAAAAACTCGCATATTCCCTCATAAGTAAGTGTTTTTGTTATTCCATACTTATTGTTAGTAAACTAGGATTCATTTCTGCTGTTAGATTTTATGTTTCGGAAAGAAAATTTAGGGTGTTATTATATGAAACGATTTCATTGAATTATTTCCGAAAAGAACAGTGTTTTGAAGTATGTTTCTATCTTCCACCGTCTTTCCTGGTAAACTTATTAGAAAGTAGAAAGTAGATTTGTGATGAAGAGGGATGTATTGGGAGGGGTCAGAAAATGTCAAGATGCTGATCTATTGTATTCATACTTGAAATGAGTGGGTGTAAATGAGCATTAGGACTGTATTTAAGCCTCGTATATCGCTGTCACTTTGAATTTTCTTTTTAGCTGCCTGGTCGAGGCCGATATTTAAGCTTCCATTGGACTACAGTAGTCTTTCTAGGGAAGAGCGTAAAGAAATGGATCTTCGAAATCTCAATAGACACCGAGTTACTGACGATAAAAAATCGAAGGAAGAAGATGAAGAGTCAAGCCGGTAAGTTGTTTCTATCCTTTCATTGACCCGTTTTATTTTTTTGTGTGGAGTTATTGAGTAGTCCAATTCCAAGTAAACTGCATTGATAAGGCAATGAATTAAAATGTGAAATTCTTTAAGTGGTTCCCTTCGCTTAATCATTTAGTTAACATTTCATAATTTCAATCCAGATTTCATAGTAATAAGTAATATTCGTAATGCTCAAAGCTTAGTATCGAGTTAATTAAGTTGAATACCGGGTTACGTGTCCTTAAGTTCCCAAGTTTCCTAAAATACTCCGTTACAATTTTAACCAACATCTATTCTTTCCATATGACCTTATTCGGCTGATGGTGTCCTCGTGAGGACTGATTTGTCGGAGAAATACGTTTTTGACCGTATCGGGTATCAATTCACGAATACCAAAGGTTTTATTATTTGGTCGTTGATTCAGTTCTATCTATTACAAAATTGATAATTTTCGAGCTATTTACGCAAAATGTTAGTATAAACTAGTTTAATTTATTAAAGTCTTTTTGACTTATGCGAGAATGTATTAAATGTACAAAATTGCCTTCTCTTTCACAGTCCTCTCAAACCAGGAGATGAAGGCTTCATAGCCCGAGCTCGAGTTCCCCAGCCCTCCAATAAGGATTATGTTATCCGTCCCAAGTGGAAAGTGCCAGCCGAATCGACGAGATCCGACAGCGACGATGGAGAAACGGATGAACAAAATGCGAATAGGCCTTCCACTTCAACTCAGCGTCGACGTCGGGTCCAACCGTCTGTTTCCTCTGGTGTTTCTTCCACTAAACGCCTTGAGAAACACATTAAGAACATCAGTAGAGCTGCTGAAATGAATAGAAAACGACGATATGTTGGCGCGGTTAGGATGTCCGTTGAAGGCAGAAATATGCCCTTGTAAATTGTTCAAAACCCTGTCCTCTATCTCCTGCGTTATATTGTATTTTTCTTATTGTGCGCCCCTTTTGTAAATATAATTTGGGAAATGTTAATTGTATTGAAAACTCTTTTTGTCAACAGATGTAGAAAAAGTTCAAACTGGTTTATATTAATTGCTTGTATGCTATCTGACTGTATTAATCATCCTCCGTTTATAAAAATGGAGCAGTGGTTAGCTTTTTCTTTGGCCCAATTTCGTCTCTTTTTTTCTTTATGCTTACAGTATAATGGATTAAGATCCTTATCCAGCATTTTTCTTACTTTAATTAATCACAAATATCTAGCTGTAATGCTTTCTTGTTAATTAATTCGAAATCAAGTCTACTCGGATTATGTCCTTTAGAATTTATAAAACGATGGTTTGGTCGAGGGAATTAAGGCCATTTTTTCATTCGTTCAGAATCACGTGGGCTGGCTATCACACTAGCAATGAAAGTGTTGAATATTAGTATTATTTTGATAGTTATCATTAGCCTTTTAGTTGACTTCAGGCTTCACAGAAAGGAGAAGGAACATCAAAGTGACAAAAAGTCGAGAGGGGGAACAGGAGAGTGATTCACAGATGTAGAGGAGACAGACAGACACAAAGGTAGAGAAAAGGTGAGGTGAGTATAGTGAAGTTGTGGAATATGACATACAGTGGGGTGATGGTAGTTTGAAGTCAGCTGCCGGTTAATAGACGTTTTGCCGTATGCAAATAGGTTGCCCAGGGTGCACCACGTGGAGGTAAGTCTATCGCACACCCCAAAAATATTGAATATACAA